AGTATTTTGGTGGCTTTGGGACATCCTGGTGGCTTCAGGACATTCTGGTGGCTTCAGGACATCCTGGTGGCTTCAGGACATCCTTGGTGGCTTCAGGACATCCTGGTGGCTTCCACACTCATCATTGTTGTCCTCCATGGTCCCTCAGGTGGGGACAACCTGGGTTTTCTTCAAAGAAACGTGGAATAAATGGATTTGGGGAGAAATTCTGGGGTGTGTGCCTGGAGGTTGAGGTTCTCCTGCCCCACTTTGGTGTCCATCTCTGGGGTTGTCCCTGCAAGACAAGGGACATGGGGGAGATCTGGCAGGACCTGACTCCTGAGTGGGACTTTAGGACCAACTTCATCCCTCCCTCAGCTCCTTCCTGGCTCCCAGGAATTGTCATGGGAGAAGCAGAGAAGGAGCCCAAGGTTCATTTTCTTCCTTTTGAACTCAATCATTTATTTTTAAAACTCCATTTTCCTTCATTTTCCCTCAATTTCCTTCTTTTCCAACTTCTGTTTTTCCCTTTTCAACTCGAATTTTCCCTTTGAAAATCAATTTTCTTCCTTTTCAAGTTGATTTTTTTTCTGGTTTAACTTCTTTGTCCTCCTTTTCACCTCAACTTTTTCCTTTTTAACTGGGATTTTTTCCTTTTTAACCTGATTTTCTTCCTTTTCAACTCAAATTTCTTTCTTTTCAAATCGATTTTCCTCATTTTCTCCTCAATTTTTTCCCTCTAACTTGATTTTTTTCCTTTTTAATCCAATTTTCTTCCTTTTCAACTCACTTTTCTTCCTTTTCAACTCAATTTTCCTCCTTTTCACCTCAATTTTCTTCCTTTTCAACTCAGTTTTCCTCCTTTTCACCTCAATTTTTTGCCTCTTTGACTTTATTTTTTTCCTTTTTAACCCAATTTTCTTCCTTTTCAACCCAGTTTTCTCCCTTTTCACCTCGTTTTTCTTCCTTTTCACCTTCATCTTTTCCTTTAAAAATCAATTTTCTTCCTTTTTGAGTTGATTCTTTTCCTGTTTATCTGCTTTTTGCTCCTTTTCACCTCAATTTTTTCCCTCTTTAACCCAATTTTCTTCCTTTTCAACTCAATTTTCCTCCTTTTCACCTCAATTTTCTTCTCTTTAACTTGATATTTTCCTTTTTAACTCAATTTTCATCCTTTTCAACTCAATTTTTTTCCTATGAAAATGAATTTTCTTCCTTGTCAAGTTGGTTTTTCCCCCATTTAACTTATTTTTCCTCTTTTCCACCCCAATTTTCCTCCTTTCCCCCCTTCTTTCCTCCCAGCTCTGCCCCCTTTTCTTCTCCCTTCACATTTTCTGCTCCAAATGGACCAAGTTTGGGTCCAAACTGGCCGAGTTTGGGTCCAACTGGACTCACTGGGGGTTGAAATGGGCCAATGTAGGAGTCAAATGGGCCAGTTTTATGGCCAAATGGGAAACGTAGGGGGTCCCAGTGGGGAAATCTGGGGTCAAAATGGGCCATTTTGGGTAAAATGGGCAATTTGGGGGTTCCCAAAGGGCCTATTTTAGAGTCAACTGCGCCTACTTGGTGTAAAGTTGGGCAATTTGGGGCCAAAATGGGAAAGGTGAGGGTCAAAACCAGATGATTTGGGGGTTCAAATGGGTCAATTTGGGGTAAATGGGCGATTTGGAGCAGTGGCCCTCACTGGTGTCACCTCCTCAGCCCTGTCACCTCCAGGACAAGCCCAAGCCCTGAAGTTCTTCAGACCAAAAATGTGGTGGCTTCTTCTCTCCTGGGAGCAGAGCTGGTGCTGGATGAGGAAAAGCTGTTGCATCTCCACGGATTTGGATCTTCTGTCCTCCTCAGGCCTCTTGGCACCTCTTCCAGACATGGATTTGGATCTTCTGTCCTCCTCAGGCCCCTTGGCACCTCTTCCAGACATGGATTTGGATCTTCTGTCCTCCTCAGGCCTCTTGGCACCTCTTCCAGACAGGACAAACCTGCAGAAGTCTCAACTGTTGAGCAAAGAGGCTTCCAGCAAAGAGGAACCTGGCTGAGATGCCAACTCCTCCCAGCTGGCACCTGAACCATCACCCAGCAGCTTGTCCTACTTGTTGCCAGATGGATTTTGGCCACCTTGGCTGCAGAAGCTTGAGATCTTCCAGCTCCCATCTGCCCCAAAGCCCTGAGGACCTCTCTGGGGTTCATCACAGCTCATGTAGACAAGGACCTTGGGGAGCAACAGGGTGACCAGGAGCCAACAGGGTGACCCTGGTGGCCGAGAAGGCCCATGGGCTCCTGGGGGAGTCAGGGAGGTTCTCCTGCCCCTCTGGTGGGGGCACCTCTGGAGAAGTGGGTCCAGTTTGGAGGTTCCCAGGTCATGAAGGACCAGGAGCTGCTGGAGAGGGGACAGCAAAGGGTGGGGGGACCTGCTGGAGAGCAGCTCTGGGGAGAAGGAC